CAGAGAAACAACAGAATTCATTCAACAGCAAACAGGAGTGTTTCTAAGGGAATGCTTTCCCTTAAGAGAAGGGCAGTGGCTTTCTGGAAATTGTTGGTAATAGCAGAAAGTGTTTCTGAAACAAGCCCCCAGGTGATTCTCTGACAGGTGTAACTTTGAAAGTGAAACTTCTGGTTCCCCTATGGCTGTGACCCTGGGAGGCAGACGGTGTTGGGCAAAGAGTGACAGTGTCCAGACATGGAGTCCGAATTCTGCTTCCTGTTGCTCCAATTCAGGGAGAATGGTGCCTCATTTACAGTGGAGCCCAGTCTTGTGAGGGTGGGGCGCCAGTGGTGACCTGGGCAAGTCCCACAATTTAGTTGGGGTCTGACTGCTTGTGTTGTAGGGAAAGCACCCCAGTGAGAGATAGCATCTAAAATAAGGGTGTTAGGGTCGCTTGTCATTGCATACATATTAAAAGGTTTTTGTCGATATATCCCTATATTATTGCCTTTTCATCGGAGAAGGCAATGGTATCCCACTCCAGTACTCTTGCCTGGAAAATCCCATGGACGGAGGAGCCTGGTGGGCTGCAATCCATGGGGTCACTAAGAGTCGGACACGACTGAGCGGATTTCACTTTCACTTTTCCCTTTCATGCATTGGAGAAAGAAATGGCAACCCACTCCAGTGTTCTTGCCTGGAGAATCCCAGGGACGGGGGAGCCTGGTGGGCTGCCGTCTGTGGGGTCGCACAGAGTCGGGCACGACTGAAGTGACTTAGCAGCAGCAGCAGCATTGCCTTTTCATAGCTCAAAATTGTGACTTTCATAATTCCAAACCTAAATGTTTAGCTAGATAAGAGGCTGCTCCATGGGCATGGGAGGTGTTTGGGGCCTAGGAACTGCCTCAGAGAGTGGCCAGATGATGTGAGGACACTGCTGGGTGACCGTCGGGGGTGTCCCTTCCAGCTGCTTCTACTCATTTAATCCAGAGCCACCAGACCAAGTGGCCTTGAGAAGAGAGATCCATGGCTGTGTCCTCAGGCAGCTTGAGCTTGGGCACAGGGCAGGGGACAATCAAGACTGCTGGGTCCCAGGCCCAGTAGTCCTCAGGCACTGCCACAGTGAGCCGGGGGAGGAGGAGCAGGCGGGGCCTCTCAACACGGTGGATGGGGACAAAACAGACGTGTGCAGTTCCTGGCACGTCAGCCCTCACTGAAGCCAGGCCACCAGCGTTCACAGTCCAGGTTTGTCATCTGTATGCTGTGTGACTTTCAGCAGGTTAATATCACTGTGCCTTGGTTCATTGGAAAAAAATGGGATGATAAAGGCTCCTGCCCTGAGGGGTCATATTGGAGTGCTTGGAACATTGTGAGCATTCCATGTCAACTGCCAAGAACTGCCGCTGGAGCTGTGTGTGTCAGGAATCAAGATGGGGCTTCCCTGGTGGCTCAGTGGTAAAGAATCTGCCTGCCAATACAGGGGAACACGTGTTCAACCCCTGGTCCGGGAAGATCGCACATGCAGCCAAGCAGCTAAGCCCATGTGCCTGCAAGCCATAGAGCCTATTTCTGTAACAAAAGAAGCCACTGCAATGAGACGCTCACGCACATCAACAAAGAGCAAGCTCAGCAAAAAGAATCAGGATTCCCCCACTCCCACCCTGAGCCCAGTCCTGGGTCTTCCCTCAGGTCTGGACTCTGGGGGCCTCGTGTCTGGATGGCACAGGGCCAAGGAGAGTGTATGAAGCTGCCTGGTTTTTCAAAGGTCAACAGACAGGAAGGCCCTCTCTGTGGAAGAATTTGGACCCCAGGGTCCTGGCTGATGGCTGTTTTTTGTTTGTTTTTTTAATATTTATTTGTGTATTAATTTGGCTGTTAGTTGCTGCATGCAGGATCTTTTTGTTATGGCATGCTAACTCTTAATTGCAGCGTGTGGGATCTAATCCCTGACCAGGGATCAAACCCAGGCCTCCTGCACTGGAAGCACAGAGTCTTAGCCATTAAATCACCAATTCAATGATAGCTGTCTTTCCCAGACACTTTGCCCAGACCAGTCTGCCCAGGAGCCAGAAACCTTGACTCCTCGGCCCCTTCTCCAGTTTCCCTTGGCCCGCCTTAAAATTAAGCTACTAATCCTGTGACACCATGTCCAGCTGGGCCATTTCCTTCTTTGGGACCTGCCACAACACCCAACTTTCACCCCCCTGGGGACTTTGTGAGAGGCTGGGACCAGGTCATTCACCCTTGAATAAAAGGAAAGTGAGGTGACTGGACTGAGAGCGTGGACTCAGAGGGACTGCAGAGGTGTTTGTCTTTCCAGTGCTTCTCCTCACCTTCTAGGGCAGGTTGGCATTGTCTCCAGGCCTGGGGAGTATGGACACCAGGTGGCAGAAGGAAAAGTCCCAGGGCTGGACCAGGGCATGAGGTGGGGTAAGCTATGAGCAGCCTGCTTCGCGTGGCCCCAGGCACGCAGGACTGAGGGCAGGGCTCTGCCCTGGATGTCGAGGCAGCACATGTTCACAGAGGCATGCTGAGCCCACAGGTAAAGGTCACAGTGCAAACACGGCACAGGACATGGCCCAGAATCTTATCTGTACCTGTGAGGGATACTGCTGCCTACTCACATGGACCCCAGCAGCCAGGGAGCACAGTGGAGGCCTGGCTGCTCCCTGCAGGTGGCCTGCCTGGCCTCTCACTGCATATACCACCAGCCCTGAGCGTGTCTGACCTCTGCTACTTGGCTGCCCCCATCAGAGCCTTTCCACCACTGGGGAAGCCCTCTCTCTGGTGGAGGAAGGTGCGTCAGCAAATCAGGGCTTCCGGGCTTCACATTATCAGAAGGGATAACTGTTTCCCATGAAAATGAGGTCCCATGCTCTAGTGGGATAGGATTATTAAGACAGATTTGTAAAGCAGAGACTGTTCTAATGTATAGAATTTCAAAGCTGTGCTTCTCTCACCGGCCCATTCTTCCAGCTCAGATGGGGTTTGGTGGGATCCTACATGACTGGGAAGAGCCTGGTGGACTTGATCAGTGCCTGGTGGCTGCCAGCCAGCATCTTGGCAGATTAGGCTGGGCACACGGGGAGTGGGAGGTAGAGACCAAACAGAGATGATGCGGCTCTTCCAGAAGCTTGCCTCGGGGAAGGGGAGAAGCTGCAGATTTGAGAGGGGTGGGCTTTTTTTTTTCCCAGCCCATTTGTCTATAACATGCTATGAAACTCCCCCTCAAGCGTTTATAGCTGCCAAAGGAAGGACCTCCCAACACCTTCCATTTAGGTGGCTTGAGGTAAAATAGATAATGCTTTTTTGTTCAAAGAAGTTTAACATCATCAAATTTAATGACCATATTTCTACTGAGCTTGAGTAACCCCTGCCCCACCACCCCCACCATGGAGCACTACTTAGTTAGCCCCATGAAATGCGTGGCACCCCTGGTATTGACATTGGCCCAAAACCCACTGCCTCCACATTTGGAAATTCGGTCCCTATGGAAAAAAAATTTCTTTTAAGTGTGTGTGTGTTGGGGGGCGGTACTGGCCAGAAGAGGACAAGCTGGCTGGCTCCCCCACTGGGGCCTGGAGTCCGGGACCATTGGAAAAAGTCTGGATGAGGAATGATTCTGGAGCTTGGCTCAGTGTGGGTTTTGCAGCAGCCAGTGGAAACTTCCAGGAATGCTGCTCTGGGCCAGCCGGGGGCTGTTTCCGCTGCCACTTTTACGAACCGCAGACCCCCTCCATGGCTGGCCGGCCAGTAGGGGGGAATGTGATCGTCTCTTTCAGCTCAGCTCTGCCTCTCAGGGTGCCAGTTCATATTCCACAGGCAGCAACTTTTCAGGCTCTGTCCTGTGCCCCGAGGCTCAGAGCCCCCTGCAGCCCGGCCAGCTTGTTTAGAAGGGGCCAGCCGCCAGGAGGAGCAGCGTCCATGAGGCTGATATCCGTGCGGGATGCTGTGAGAATTTATAGCAGCCTCAGAGGGGAAACTCCCTCCCCAAATGTTTCAGTGTTTTATTAAATATGTGAAAGGAAAGTTTCATTTCTACTGGACCAAGGCCCAGAGCCTCCATGGAGCCTCAGGGAAGGTGGCAAAACCTCTTGGGAAAGCCCACAAATGGCTAAAATTAAGAGAAAGTCTTGTTTCTTAATCTGACCCCTTTCTAATGCCTGTAGGCTACATGGCAAGAAACCAAGCCTGCTTCATTCCCAGTGTACTTGTGGGCCTGCATGGGCCTGGACACTCCTGCACTTCTGCCAACGCTCTGTCCAAAGGCAGAGGAGGGGGGCAGGTTTTGCTGCCTTGTCTGGGGGCCAGGTCGGCAGACCAGCCATCATGCCGGGTGTGCAGGAGAGGCCAGAGAGCCAGTCTCCGCCCCCCAGAGGCCAACAAGACGGGCATCGTCACTGTGGCCAGCGTGGGCCAGGCTGACACATGCTGGGCACCACGATGTCACCTCACAGTCTCCAGGACTGCTGTGAGCTTGGCATTATATAGTGGAGAAAATAGACTCAGAAACAGGGTGTTAGGGCCTCAGCCCCAGACAGCACATTCCTGCAGCGGCCCCCAGTGGACTCAGACAGGCCGTGGCCCTCCTGGGCTCAGGGTTCTCACCTCCAAGCCTGGGAAGCCCCTCCAGCTGTAGATAAAAGGCCTGGGCAGGACCCAGGTGAAGTCCCTTCATTTGTGGGTGCAGTTTTCTCATTTTCGGAATGGAGATGGCTGATGGTCTCTGGTTGGTTGATCTCTGAAAGGACAGATGAGCAAGTGCTTCTGCTCTGTAACTCCAGTCTAAATGTCAGACCACGAGGGCCTGCTTTCCCTCACTGTGTCCTTCCGCTGCCCACAAACATCAGAGAAGTACCTTCCCGAACCAGCAGGAGCAGACATGAAGACCCAGGGACAGGGCACCAAGCAGCAGCCTGGGTGGGAAAAGATGGCGTTTGTTCCGGGGCAGCTGAGCAGGCCTGGCTGAGGGCAGCCCAGGGGACCCTCCATCCTGAGCCTGAACATTTATTTTGCAGACAGTCTCCATCTTGGAGCAGCGGCTGACACTGACAGAAGACAAGCTGAAGCAGTGTCTGGAGAACCAGCAGCTAATCATGCAGAGAACAACACCGTGATCAGGGGAACAAGAATCAAGAGCTCGGTCGATTTGGGGGGTGGCAGGTCGGGGATTTGTACTGGACACTTGGGTAAATAAATAAGATTCAGCCCTGGGAACCATATCCATCCCAGAGCCCCAGGGGTTGTGCACCTATGCCCTGCACCCAGAGACTCTCCACCTGGTGATGGGAGGCCCCCATAGGCCGGGCCCGTGTATGCACAAATGATATACCTAGTTTATTGTGAAGGAGCCACTTCACATTAATGTTTGTTACCTTGGAGTCTTAAGGAGCCCTGAGATGAGCTCTCCTCTGGAGGCAGGAGCCCCAAGCCACCCTGCTTTTCACTCATCCCTTACTGACCTTTCTGCCATGTGACTGGCTCTGTCCTGTATCTTAGAGTAGGGGTAGACCACTTGGTTGGATGAGCCAATAGTTTCCTCTAAATCTGACAAAAGGCCCAAAGTGGGCCCGTCTGATTTATCCAGGAACAAGCCCTCTGGAGGGGGTGGTGGCTTTGCAGTGGCCTTGATTTCTGTCCCACATGTTTACTGAGGCCTGATGGCTTCTTCCTCTGCATCCATGAGGGCAAAGGAACCTGAACATTAAAATGAACTTGATGGAGCTCGTCACTGGAGTGGCTTGTTCTGAGTGAGACCTAATCAATCCTTCCATCCCCAGGGTCCATAAAGGGAGAACAAAATGACATCTGGGGAGGGCCCCTGCCAGCATTACCTCCAGAGCCGTGCACAACCTGCTTCCTACCATTCGGGGTCTTCAGAAGCAAGGACAGCCAGAGGGACTCTGGCTGTCCTGGCCGGCTGCTTCAGCTGGGACCTGGAGACTTCAGGCACCTGCATGTCCCCTTGCTCATGAGGGTTCCGTAGGCTGCCTCCCTGCATCTGTGCAGGAAAGCCAGGCAAGTGTTCCCCATATGTCTGCATTCAGCCTCTTGGGTCCCTGCCAGCCAGGGAGGGATTTACCCTCCAACACACTTGACCTGCCCTGGGGCCTAGGAGAGCAGGCGGTGTTAGACTCCCAGGAACTGTCAGTACCAGGTGGCTAATGAGGTTCCCAGCCTCTGCAGGTTTCAGGTGGGAGCAGAGGCTGAATGCCTTAAGAGCTGAGGCTGACAAGAGGCAGCCTGTGTTGAGTCCTGATGAACGACAAGCCTTGGGGAGCTGCTCTGCCACCTGGGTGGGGAGAGAGCTTCAGTCTGGAGTCAGGTCTCAGGCTCTGCCTTTGGTCGAGCTGCGTGACCTCAGCGTGGTGATATAACTTCTCTGAGCCTCAGGTTCTTGTGTCGGGTAGCAGAGGTGACCACCCCACCAGGTAGGCACTTGACAGGCCCATGGCTCCCTGGCCTACCTGTCCCTCTAGGAGGATGGAGCTTACTATAGATGGGCAAGAGGCTGATGATGCGGGATGTTTCAGAGCCCCCAGGAACCTGCTGCAGTCCTCCACATGGCCCTGCTAGTCTGTAGAAGAACCCGGAAGTCTTACTGGTCTAAACTGATAGGTAAGTTCCTCAGCTGCCTCAGGAGGTCATGGTTCCCAGTCTCTGAAGGCTTTTTTTTTTTTTAAAGGAGATATGGTTTATCTATTTATTTAATATTTATTTGGCTGTGTCTGGTCTTAGTTGCGGGATGTGGGATCTTTTTTTGCTGTATTCAAACTTTTGGTTACATCACGTGGGGATCTAGTTCCCCAACTAGGGATCGAACTGGGCCTCCTACACTGGGATCATGGAGTCTTGGCCACTGGACCACTGGGGCAGTCGCCCTGGAGGCCTTTAAGGAAAGCTTGAGCGGCCCCAAGTCAGCTTGCTCAGGGGGAACACAGCTTGTGGGGCCAGGCTTGTCCGTCCCTCCCAGGCTGGCTGCCCTGCCCCTGACGAGACATCGGCTGCCTTGTTTTGGCCGGTGGAGCTGAAGCTCCCAGGTAATGGGGCTGTAGTGATTCGGATAGCCAGTCCAGGCGAGGTTGTCTCCAGAGACACAGGGTGCCCCTCGCTGGGGGTGAAAAGTCAGGGGCAAGGTCTTCAAGGCATGTGTGCCAGCTCTGCCCACAGACCGAGCACGGGTTGCCACTCATCACGCCTCCAGGATTGAGTTTTTAATTTTTCTCTGAAATCTCCCTTCCTCAGTGAGAAAAAATGTGGGTTTGAGAGTCTGTTAATGATTTGGGAAATGGCCTGGGAGGCTGTAGTGTGGTATTTTCCCCACCACCATTATCAGATATAAGCAGTCTAGGGTTGCTTACCCGCCCCCCCCCCCACCACCACCACCAGACAGCACACAGCCTGTCTGGGGGGACAGTATCAGCGTGACTTGGGTTTCCGCAGATGGAGGGGGACAGAGCTGTGACCACGGGCCATCTGGAAGAGCTTTGCACGAGGGGTTGGACCAGGGCCTCCTGAGGGGTTTCCTGCCACACTCACCTGCCTTGAAGGAATCACCAGCCAGGCCTGGCACAGGGGAGAAGGATGGATCTTGGAGAGCTGTCTTTGTCTTTGAAACATCACAGAGACTTGCAGCCTGCAAGCCTGGGGTCAGTGTGAGTGACCAGGCTGAGGCAGAGTGCGGGGGCTCAACTAGGCAGTGCTGGCTGGGCTAGTGGCTGACAGGTCTGGCTATGGGGGGTGCTGACAAGCGGTCAGGGGCGGGGAACATGAGGGGACTTGGCCCAGTTGGGGGCCCCATGACCATCTTTCTTGTGGTCTCCCCAAATGGCACTCCCTGCTAGCCCACCCCAGCAGCTCCCCTGTGGCCGGGGCTCTTACCAGTCCCCGAGATGTGCTGCCAAGCTCAGAAGCAGTCCTCTGGAAATGTAAATGCCTCAGCTTAGCTGTCATCTCTCCTAAGTTTGGATTTTGGTAACTGAGATTCCAGAAGACCAAACTGCAAGGGGGGGGTTGTGGCTAGGAAGATGTTTTTAGGCTAGGAGGCTTTTGTTAGGAAGTACGTCTTCATGGCAGATCCCAACCCCACACCCCCATCCCTTCATGCTCTAATTTTCCTACCATGTGGAATGAAAGAAGTGTGTCTGACTTAAGTTGCAGCCCCCTACCTACCCTTTGCCAGATTCCAGGAATGGATCTGTACTTCCTGCCAGAGAAAGAGAGAGGCAGGTCAGGTAGGCTCTAAACCAAGCCAGAAAGCAGCCGCAGAGTTCAGCCCCTGCTTGTGGCGAGCCCGCCACCCTTCCCTCCTGAGGCACCACTCCCAGGAGCCCAGACAGGCTAAGTGCTGAGGGGTCCCCGCAGACCAGTTTCCCTCCAGAGACTGGAGGGGCATGAGCCAGCCTGTCCTGGAGACTCTACCATCCTCACAGCAAGCAGCGTCCTTGTCCCTGGTCTCCTGATCTCCACAGGGATGTGCTGCTTGAGAGCAATCAGGCAAGAGGGTAGGGCAGGGCAGTCAAAGGCCCCTGACCCACCGCCACAGCCCACTCTGACCCCCTGCTAGCTCCGTGACTTTAGATGGGTTCAGTAACCTTGTGGAGATGGCTTGTGAGCTAGTTCCTGATGCACCGGGCACAGGAGGTGCGCAGAGCGAGTGTGCTGTGTGTGGCTGGAGAGAGACTTCTGGAGGCTTGGACCCCTTCCCCAGAACTTGGCCTGTGTCCAGAAGGACGCAGTCTGGTGGTCCCAGAGTCGTGCTGGCTCTGAAGTTCTCCGTGGCCAGAGTTCTGGTCTCTTGACCCCATGACCGCTGCCATGGGCATCCCCAGTGGTGGTTTGAGAGCTGGGCTGACAGACAGCCCCCCCACCCCCACTCGAGAAGGCAGGCCCTTCAAGGCCGCCACTAGGGCCAGCGCAGGCTTGGGGGTGGGCGTTTGTGATTGCCGGGAATCCCGGAAACCCAGCCCGCTGAGCCGGCACGAGGGTGGTGAGTCACACTGTCCCGGCTCCTCGTCATTAACCTCGCCTTCCTAAATGATCTGCTCAAGATGAGCCCCTGATGGCTTCAGCTTTCATGGGTGTGTGGTCATTTAAGGGGCACAGACATCAGCCCCAGAGTTTTTTCCAAGCACCCCCTCCACCCCACCCTGTTCCAGGCTGCCAAGGAGGGAACCGTGTTGCCAAAGCAGCAGCGGCAGACTGAAGGCCTGAGCTCACTTCCTGTGAGCATCGCCACCCTGACACCAGGCCTGTCCCGTGGTTGGGTGGGCTCCAGCCCACCCCAGCTGTCACCCTAGCACCCCGGGCTCACTCTCAGTTGCTTTGGGGAAGTCTCTCTAGAGGCCCAGAGCATGGGGCCCTCATATCCAGGCTCACGGATGAGACTGGAGCCGGGCCAGACAGCCTGGGGCGAAGCCATTAGGAAGCTTTCTGTGCCAGCGCCTCCTCCGGCTGGGAGCTGCTGTGTGGAAACACTCTCCCAAGAACCTATTTATAGAGCAAGGCTGAGCAGGGTTTCAATTCAGGTGAGGCCACCTTGAACCCCCACTATGCCTGGGCGTGCTTGTGACAGGAACCTCGACCTCTGCCCCCCACTCTTTCCTACCACCCGTGAGAAACCTGAGCGCTGCTAGATGAGGGCTCTGGGCAGGAGCGGAAGTCCTGTCCTCCTGCAGCTTCCGTTTCTCAGTCCGAAGCCGCTCTTGCAGGCACGAATACTTGCTTCTGAAAGTGGGACTTTGACTCTCTCTTGGGTGCTCAGTGTGCAGAGGCCTGGCCTGCAGGAGCCAGCTGGGGTCGTGGTGCCACTCAGCCACACACACTGATGTCAGCTCCTGGCCTCCATCCTTCTCCAGCTAGGCACCCAGCATCAGCTCTGGAGTGGAGACCGACTGCGGAACTGTGGCCATCCCCAGGCACCTGGGGCCCACGTTCACCCAGTCCATGTTGTTCTGGTCTCAGGCCTGGCCGAGGGCACCAGTGCCCTGCAGGTGCTCTGCTCAACTGGCCTCTCCTCCAGACCTCTGCCCTGCCCCTGCCTTTCCCCAGCTAGGCTCAGCCCAATGACGTGCCTTGACCTGGCAGGTCTCTGGAACCAGCCAGCTCCCCTGGAAGC